CATGAATGCAGCACCAGGGACCTGGAGACCCAGAGTGGGGAGTTCAGCCCCAGCGGAGCAGCCTGGGGTGACAGATCCAGCCCCAGGGACATGGAGACRCAGGATAGTGAATTCACACCCAGCAAAGCAGCCGGGGATGACGGGCACAACACTGGGGACATGGAGACCCAGAATGWGGAGTTGTTCAGCCCCAGCGGAGCTGTCTGGGGTGACAGATCCAGCAGCAKGGATGTGGAGGCCCAGGATGGAGAGCTGAGCCCCAGCAGCGCAGCCAGGGATGGGCAGCACAGCTCTGTGACCCCCAGGGAGGAAGAGCAGGACCTGATCCCGGCCCGGCTGAGCTGGCCCAGTGAGGGCAGTGTCGGACAGACTGAGCTGGTCAGGGCTGCTGAGGAGGACATGCCCAGCTCCCACCACCCCGATCGCCCGGCCCAGGAGCCCACGTGGGGCAGTGCCCACCAGCAGGAGCATGGCAGCTCTGGCAGCTCTGGCAGCAGGGACTGGGCTGAAGAGCTCAGAGCAGCTGAGTGCCACAACCAGTTCGGTGTCATTGGGACAGAGCGGGTGCTGGACCCCTGCAGTGCCGGAGCCTCGGATGGCTCTGTGTCCGGGGTCCTGCCACAGCACCAGGCAGGCTGGCACMGGGATCTCTCTCTGGACATAGGCAGTGCCTGCTGGAGCCAGGACCTRGGAAGCTGGAGCATGGAGCCACAGGATGCCAAGGCCAGGCGCCAGGAGTGGGCGAGTGCCTTTGGCGCCCGCTGTGCYGCCCGCAGCCGGGACCTTGGTGTGGGGGAGCAGAGCCTGGGAGGGGACACCGGCGCAGAGCACGGGTAAGGAGGGCACACATGGTGGCAGGGAGGGAGCAGCTTCCCCTGAGGCAGATAGAGGGRTTTGGGGCAGCGCTTGTTATCTGGGGCTGAAGCAGCTCTGGGCTTTTGTCTCTAAGCAGGTTGGTCCCCAGCCTGTCAATGGGTGACATTCCAGCTGATCCCCCAGCTGTGGAGCCCCCGTGGAGCGAGCCACCTAGCCCTAAGGAGGAGAGAGACCCTTCTGAAGTGTCTGCTGCCCTGCAGAGCCCCAAAGCCCTCCCTCCGCTGCCAGAGGCTGCCACTGGGATCCCAGCAGACACAGGAAGCGAGGAACACCCCTCTGACCACCCGGATGGGGAGAGCTCCTCTGGCTGGGGGGAGCAGCGGCTCTCTCTGGGTACCCCCCAGCCCRAGGGGTCTGTGGAGCAGGGGCAGGAATTTCCTCTGCTGGAGGTGAGTGGGAAGATTCCTATCACCCTGTATGGCCTGGGACTGCGTGGCTGTCACAGGACGTGTCTCTGGAGGGGGGCTTTGCCCTCTGACCCTGCTGCCTCCAGGGACAGCCATGATTGAGGACCCCCAGCACTGCTGTGGGGGCTGTAGGTGTGCTGGCTGGGGTGAGGGGGTCCCTGGGCTCTGTGTGCCAGCTCTGACCTGTCCCCTGGGCTTGGCAGGACACGGAGCTCCTGGACAGCAGCGTGCTCCGCAGCAAGGCCAGCCTGGGCCGCAAGCGCCAGCACCGGGCACCGTCCCTGCGCCCCACTGCCACTGARGGGGAGAGCTGGATCTTCCGGGACTCCACGGGTGAGCCSAGTGGGGAGGGGGATGGGAGCAGGRYRTCTGTCCTGGCATGGCGTCATTGTGACACTGTCCCTGTGTGCCCACAGAGCCCCGGGCAGCGCTGGCAGCGTCCTCCGATGAGGAGGCAGCGGAGGAGCCCAGGAGCCGGCGGATGCGGGGCTCCCCCTCGGGCAAGGGGGTCAAGGTGCCCCTCTTTCCTGGCCTCAGCGCCTCCGCCATCAAGGTGAGACCCTTGGACTGCTGGCTGGGAGGTGGGAGGGTGGAACGTGGGGAAACTGAGGCAGGGTGAGGCCKGGGGCTGGCTGAAGGCCGGGAGGACGCAGTGGGGGGCAGAGCACTGCGTGTCTCACTGACTGCTCTCTCTGCCCCCAGGCCAAGCTGAGGGGTCGCAACCGCTCTGCTGAGGAGGGGACATCATCAGGGGACAGCAAGGGGACCACCCCTAAGGACCCCCACGTGCAGCGCTCCAAGTCCTGCAAAATTCCTGTGAGTGGGAAACCTCCAGCGCTGCCCCCCAAGCCAGAGAAATCCTCAGGGTGAGTGTGGGGCCAGAGCCCTCATTGGGGAAAGAGGGGGCTGGTGTGGGTCATGGGGTTGGTGTTGTGGGGCTCGTGCTGAGGCTGTGCCAACACCCCAGATCCGAGGCCTCTCCCCCACACTGGCTGCAGGCRCTGAAGCTGAAAAGGAAGAAGCCCTGAGCGGGGTGAGTGTGGGAATCTGGGGGGTGCTGGGGACACTCTYCCCCAGCTGGAGCCATCCCATATCCCTGGGGTCTGCACTGCTGGGGGGCAGCTCCCTCCCTCCTGCCTGCTCTGGCTGGGTCCCCCAGGGCTGGGTCACCCCTGGGGGGCCCGTCAAGCTCCTCACTCCTTCCCCGCTCTGTCACTTCCAGGCTCACTCCCTGACGCCGATGGCCGCTGTCCCCGGACCAGGGCTGTCCCCTCCCACGGGACACACAGACACACAGACACACACACCTATGCACTTTGTACGAGCTCGCAACAGACACACAGACACACACACCTATGCACTTTGTACGAGCTCGCAGGGTCCCCATCTCCCCAACATCTCCCCATCCCCTCATTGTACCCCATCCCCTCGGTCCCCAAGGGGTGGGGATGGGCACGAGCCCCCCCTTCCCCTCCCCCCTGCTCGTGTATGGCCCCGGACACAGGGCGACGGGTCCAGCTCGTGGTGCCGCTGCCACAGACAATAAAACCTCGCTGGTCAGTTCAGGGGGTCCTGGCTGTTCTCCTGGGCCTGGGTGGGGATCACAGAGATCCTTGGAAAGGCAACCAGTGACCCTCACTGCCCACATAGGAGCTGTGCAGGAAACAAGGGACAGCCCCAAAACCCCTCTGGTGCCCTCCTGGGTGCTCCCAGCACTCAGCCAGGCCCCCCACCCTGCCCAGACACCAAGTGGATGCTGACACCAGGACTTTATTGAGCTCTGAGGGATGGGGTGCCACCTCCCGTGGGGGGCAGCAGTAGCAGAGCCCCAGGGGTACSCAGTGGGGCCGAGCCCCTCATATCTCGCAGATGAAGGGCAGCCGCCTCTTGCAGCGCAYGCTCCTCCAGAGCCCATCTGGGGAGAGAAGAGGGGGGATCAGCCCATTGCCTGCCAGCATCCCCAGGGATAGCCCCCAGGCCCCCTAGTGCCAGCCCCCCAGATGCCATATACAGGCTCTTTGGTATCACCTCCCCATCCCGAGCCCCTCAGCAGTCCCAGCAAGGACTCATTCCCCCAGAGCCCCCCCCGAGAGCCCCCACTGACTCTGGGTGCAGAGGGTGGTGCAGAAGCGGTGGCCAGGCAGGGGATGTCCAGGCACCCACTGGCTGTAGTTCCAGGGGCTCTTGTCGGTCCAGTGGCAGCTCGGGATTGGGATCTGTCGAGAGGAAAGACAGTGGGGACCCCCAGCACTGGGGACGGTGGGAATGGGACATCCAGGATGGGCCCTGGGGACACTGGGTGCCCTGAGGCCAGGGTGGTGGGCACGGGGCGGGGGTCCTTACAGCGGGCTGGCTGACAGCGCCGATCCACAGCTGGGCGGCATGGGTGTGCCGGCGCGCCAGGAGCAGCAGCAGCCTGTTGGTGCGGGCATCGTGGATCGAGGCCAAGCGCCCGTGGAAGCGCCGGGCACAGACGTGCTGTGGGGACACGGCTGTCACCAGGGGCTGGCACTGCTGCCCCCAATGCCACCCCCACCCAACCCACCCCGTCCCACCTGCGCGTGGCGGAAGCTTCGGCAGCGGGAGACGACGACGTAGCGGCAGGTGGCAGTGCCCGGCRGGTTGGGGACACCGAGCGCCTGCTTGTCACTGGCCGCCAGGCACCTGCTGTACTCCTCGGGCATCTCCAGCTCTGTCACATCCTCATCCTCTGCCACAGGGCTGGCAAGAGCTGGGGGCACCAGCTGTGTCAGCCCAGGATCAGGGGTGTCCCCAGGATGTCCCCATGGGCAGGTCAGGGCGTGGGGGCACTCACCGGAGCGGCTGGCTGGGACTGTGCCCAGGAGGGCCAGGGCGATCAGCAGGCAGGACCACATGGCGTGGGGATACTGGGGATACCACTGGCACCCTCGGGAGATCACACAGCCCTGTCACCCTTGGCTGCCTTGAGGACACCCTCATGGCCCCTCTGCCACCCCCAGCATCACCCCTTCCTCCACACTTCTCCTCAGAAATCTCCCCACTGTGTCTCTGCCATCCCCAGAGCCACCCCGTGTCCCATCCCCAGTGCCACCCCCTGTCCCATCCCTGCACACCCCAGCTCTCCTGTGCCCACTGTGTGCCCAGTTCCTCACTCCCAACCCTGGGGTCACCCCTCCCCTGGCCATCCTGTGCCACTCTGTCCCCCGCCATGTCTCCCTGACACACCAGAGTCCCCCTGTGCCAGACGGAGATCTCCCCAACCCTGGCAGCTGAGGGCTGAGCCCACYCCCACGTCCCTGTCCCCACTCCTCACCTGAGTCTTGGGGAGCTCTGCCTGCTGCCACCCTTATATTGGTGACAGGRACACGTGTCCCCAACCACAGCCTTATGACACCCCCAACCACCAACTGTTGGGGACACAGTGGGGGACACTGCCCAGCCAGTGGCTGGGGGTGTGTGTGGTCCGTGGAGGGGGTACAGGGGCACAAGGAGGGAGTTGTGGGGGTTTGGGGTGCAGGGTGTCATTATGGGGGTTCAGGGAGTTTGGGCATGGGGAGAGGGCTGTGAGGGTTTGGGGTGCAGGGTGTCATTATGGGGGTTCAGGGAGTTTGGGCATGGGGAGAGGGCTGTGAGGATTTGGGGTGCAGGGTGTCATTATGGGGGTTCAGGGAGTTTGGGCATGGGGAGAGGGCTGTGAGGATTTGGGGTGCAGGGTGTCATTATGGGGGTTCAGGGAGTTTGGGCATGGGGAGAGGGCTGTGAGGATTTGGGGTGCAGGGTGTCATTATGGGGGTTCAGGGAGTTTGGGCATGGGGAGAGGGCTGTGAGGATTTGGGGTGCAGGGTGTCATTATGGGGGTTCAGGGAGTTTGGGCATGGGGAGAGGGCTGTGAGGGTTTGGGGTGCAGGGTGTCATTATGGGGGTTCAGGGAGTTTGGAGTGTGGGGAAGGGGCTGCGAGGGTTTGGGGTGCAGGGTGTCAGTACAGGGGCTCAGGGATTTTGGGGCATGGGGAGGGGGCTTTGAGAGTTTGGGGTGTAGGGTTTCAGTACAGGGGCTCAGGGAGTTTGGGGCATGGGGAGGGGGCTTTGAGAGTTTGGGGTATAGGGTATCAGTATGGGGGCTCGGGGAGTTTGGGGTGCAGGGGCTGAAGAGGTTGGGGTGCAGAGGGCATGGAGATGTGGGTTTGGGGTGCACAGTCCCCGGGGGGGCTGTGGGTAGTCACCCGTGGGCCAGGGGCAGCTGGTCAGGGGAATGGGCAGTTTGGGGGGGGCTCAGGGGGTTCTGTGGGCAAACGGCCAGGCTGGACCTGGGGGCCGTGGCCGTTGGGGAGGAAATGGCCCTTGGGCAAGCGCGGCGGGCGGGAGATGGTATCAGCACCCTGACATCCCCTCTGTGCCCCCAGCACCCCCACCCTGGGACWGGCTGCACCCCCGACAGCCACCTTGCACCCCTCAAACCGGAGCAGCCCCCATCCTGCTCCCTCAGCACCCACCCTCTGCCCTGGGCACCCCCATGTGCCCCCCTCCCTGGGGGCCGTGTGTGTCCCACTGCGGGCAGGAACACCCCCCGCCCAATGTCACCACCGTGCCCCCATGGTGTCCCCAGGGCTGGGCTGGGTGGCGCAAGGCTGTGGTTGTGACATGTAGCCCTGTCACCCCTATAAGGGGGACAACAGACAGAGCCCCCCGTATGTGTGAGGTGAGGAAGGGGACATGGACTGGGCGTGGGGACGGGGACATGGACTGGGGTGGGGACAGGGACATGGACTGAGACAGCAGCTGCTGGGGCTGAGAACCAGGGATGGGTGTCCCTGAGGCTGGCATGGGGATGTCAGGGAGACACAGGGGGTCTCTGGGATGCCAGGGGGACATGGGGGTGGGACAGTGGGGACAGAGGGGCAGGATGGGGTGAGGAACAGAAGGTGGCACTGGGGTGGCAGAAGGACAGTGGGGACATGGCGGGTGGCACAGGGGCCACAGCGAGAACAGGTTGTTACAAAGGGTGGCACAGGGGCTCTGGACCACGGGGGTGGCCAAGAGTGACAGGGCTSTGGCATCTCCAGAGGGTGCTGCTGGTGTCCCCAGTGTCCCTGCGTGTCCCGCTGCTATGTGGCCGTGCCTGCTGCTCGCCCTGGCCCTACTGGGCACTGTCCCTGCCAGCCACCCGGGTGAGTGTTCCCCACACCCCTGCCTCCTCCCGGGACACCCTGGGGACACCCTGGGGACACCCAGTGCCACTCCCATTCCATTGGTGTCACAAGCCTGGGGCCAGTGATGGGTGGCAGAGACACCTCCGATTCCAACCCTCCCCCTGCGCTGCCCTGCAGCCCCCCGCCCACTGCAGGGGGTCCCTGCTGGTGAGACCCCCCGGCTGCACTACGTGGTGGTGAACAAGCTGCGCACCTACGGRGGAGCCCAGGTGAGGGGACACGGGSCACGGGCGGTTCCGGGCCGTGCCCATGGGCACAGGGGGTGCCCGGTGCCAGCCCGTGTGCGTCCCGCAGCGCTACTGCCAGGACGTGTATCGGGGCAAGCTGGCCTCGGTGCACAGCGCCTCCCGCAACGAGGAGCTGCAGAACCTGGCACGGACCTACACCCGCGTGGCGCCCTGGATCGGGGCTGTCACCAGCCGCAAGGTGAGGGGACAGCAGGGACAAGGCTGGGAGCTGTGCCGGGTGCCAGGCGCTGGGTGCTGGGGATGCTCTGTGGGGGATGAGTCTGGCTATGCGGTGCTGGGGCTGGTTTTGAGGGTTTTGAGGGGTGCTGGGGCTGGTTTTTGGGGTCGAGAGGTTGGGCAGGGGTGCTAGAGCTGTCACTGAGGACTGAGGTGTTGCCGTGGCAGGCAGGGCAGTGGCAGTCGTGCTGGGAGGACTCCACCCCCTGGAATTTCGCCAACTGGGCGCCCACCCACCCTCTCCACCTCATCACCACCTGCACCTCCCTCAGCACCCGAGGTAAGGGCATGTGCACCCCCTACTGCACCCAGGCTTAGGGGGTGCTGGGGAGGGGAGCAGGGGACAACTGGGGGATTGGAGGAACACTGGGGGGCATGGGGAGGAGGATACAGGGCTCTGGGGGTATTGAGAGGAGCACAGAGGGCACTGGAAAGGGGTTACAGGGCACTGGGGGGACACTGAGAGGATATAGGGGACACTTGAAGTGGTTCCAGTGTACTGGGGAGCACTGGGAAGGGTATAGGGGGCCTTGGGAACCACCCACAGCCCTGACACTGTACTTGTCCCCAGATGGGCTCTGGCGAAGCCGCTTCTGCTTCCAGCTGCGCCCCTTCATCTGCCAGTACTGAGCCCCCAGCRCTGCCGTGGCTCCTTTCCCAGTAAAGCAGTTCATTTCCCAATAAAGCAGAGGTGCCCTGAGCCGTGTCCGTGTGCACGGAGGGACTGGGGGGCATGGGGGCAGCACGGCGAGCATAGGGGCAGCAATGTTTATTACCCCAAAACCCCCACCCCACTGGCCCAGCACCCCCAGGCCAATACAAAAATGGGGTGCTGGATGCGGGGCTCAGTGCGGGGTCTCGTTGTGGATCTCAGCGCCAGCAGGGGCTGCCAGGGGAGTGGTGGCTGTCCCCAGCTCCTTGGCTCGCTGCTGGCACTCGCGGGCCACCACCACGGGGCTGACAAAGGCCACCAGCACCACGGCGATGAGCCCCACGTTCATCTGTGAGGGAAGAAGAGTGTCAGGGCAGGAGGCCGGGGGGCTGACCACACYGAAGCGGGGCCCTCGGCCAGCCCCGTGGTTCCCCATGTCCCCTGTGCTAGGCCAGGACACTTGGGGCAGGACTCCCATCCCTCCCTGGTCCAGGGCCCCCATTTCCCATAGGGTAAGACGCATCACTCCTKGAGCAGAACTCCCACCCCTCCCAGGACAGCATCCCCATTTCCCCATGGGGCAGGACCCCCATTCCCACATAGAGCAGGACTCCCACCCCACCCAGGGCAGGACTCCCCATTCCCCACRGGATGAGATCCCCAATTCCCTGTGGCGCCAGACCCCATCGCTGCCAGAGCAGGACTCCAATTTCCCCACATGGGCAGCCCTCCTCATTCCCGATGGAGCAGCCCCCCAAGCCCTCAGGCAGCCCACAGGGCACACTCACGTAGAAAGGGTCCCCCTGGAGCGGCCCCTGCACCAGGGCGACGCAGGGGTACTGCAGCAGGGCCACCAGCGCCGACAGCGCCATGGCCAGCCCGTACAGCTTCCCGAAGTGCTGCGGGGGGAACCTGCCGGGCGCCCGCGTCACCAACGGGCACCCCGAGAGCCCCGCCCYGATACCCCATCCCCAGACACCCACCAACCCCGACCTTGCCACCCTGCCCGCAGCGYCCATGCCACCATCCCCTGCCACCCTGCCCCCGTGGCTGTCCCCACTCACGCGATGGCCAGGAAGGCGGCGTTGCCGCCGTACAGGAAGGAGCGGCTGATGACCTGCAGCGCGAAGGTGCCGAACTGGACGGGCAGGACGGGCACGGCGGCAAACACGGAGAACAGCAGGCACTGTGCCACCGTCACCACCAGCGACAGCACYGCCGACCGCAGGTCTGCCAGCGCAGCCAGTGCTCCTGCGGGCACGGGGRTCAGGGCACGGGGACACAGACCCCTCTGTGCCCCTCGCCCGGTGSTGGTGGCACTAAGGAGGGCGTGGGGGCCAGGGAGCACGGGGCTGGGAGGGGTGGTTTACCCCATAGTATGGGGCCAGGGAGCGGTGACACTTGTGGCGAGGGGCCATGGGGGTCAGTTCTCCTCGGGGCGGGGTGGGGAACAGTTACCCTCAGGGCGGGGGCCCTTTGCCCGTTTGTGGCGGTCGAGGATGAGCCCATTCCAGGGGGCGCAGAGCACCCCGCAGAGCTGGGTGAAGGCGAAGGCGTTGGTGTAGGTGCTCACTGCGGGGGGACAGCGTCAGGGGGGCAGGGCCGGCCCCGGGGGTCCCCGCCTTGTCCCCCCACCCCGGCGTGGCACCGTACCCAGGGCGTGGTCCCCGCGCGCCAGGTGCTCGAGCTGCGGGTTCAGGGTGCCGATGAACAGGTAATGGCGCAGCTGCATCACCGAGAGCCACGCCACGTGCCAGAAGAACAGCCACGAGCAGGCGCAGGCCCGGAATGGCGTCCCCAGGGCGTCCCCACCTGCACAGGTGTCAGGGCAGGGCACCTACAGACACGCCCCCGGGCCACACCCACACCTTGTCCCTGCCCCCCATGTGACCGCRCCTCGTGTCACCACGCYCACACTGCCACACCCATTCACCCCTTCATTTCCATACTTCTGTCTGCCCTCCAACCGCGCCCATGTGCAGCCACGCCCACCCACCATCAGGCCACACCCCTCAATTTGCATACTCATTACTGAATATGGTTGCTGAACACAACCACGCCTGCTCAAGCCGCACCCCTTCATTTACATGGCACCGCCCATATCCCACCTAAGGACACGCCCACCTGGCCAAGCCCCTCCCCAAATACAAGCCCCGCCCCCGCAGATCAGATTCCCACTCGCGGCACCTCGTGGGTTGGGGGGTTCCAGGGGCGTCTCCTCGGGTCCGGCCTCTCCCGGGGGCCCCTTGCCCTCRTAGTTCCGGAAGGAGCGGGAGCGCCCCGGGCACTGCAACCTGCGGGAACGCCCGTGTCACCCCGCCCCACAGGGGACAGGACCCGCTGCCCCCGTCCCCAGAGCCCCAGCGGGTCAGCCCCCGTACCCGTAGTTGTAGTCRGGGGGCAGCGGGTACGGGATGCGTGTGCGCGGCATCAGGAAGAGGGTGCGCAGGAGGTGCCAGGCGCTGCAGGCTGCCAGGAAGAGGAACATGGCCCGCAGCGACAGCCCGYGCTCGTACAGCAGCTGGGGACRGGGACAGAGTCAGGGACAGGCTGCCACCGGCTCAGGCCCTGCATCTGTCCCCACGTGTGGCCCCAGCAGTGCCTCAGCTGTGTCCCAGATTGTGTCCCTGACACGTCCACAGATGTGACCCAACTGTTCCCAGCTCTGTCCTCCCCTGCCACCACCGCCGTGTCCCTCGCACCCACCTTGACGATGAGGAAGATGGCGGAGGAGGAGTCGAAGGCCCCGTTGTAGAGGGTGATGATGATGGAGCGGTAGTTCCCGAACAGGTTGCCCACCTGGCACCGAGAGATCCCTCAGGGTCYCCCCAGACCGGGCAGGGTGTCCTGCCGCTGGGTGGGGGACAGCGTGCCAGGGTAACCCACCTGCATGTTGGTGAGGATGAGGAGGATGCCRCCCACTGACAGCATGGACATGGCTGGGAAGAGCAGCACCGCCATCTCTGGGGACACAGGGGTCAATGGGGACAGGGCACCCCCAAGGGGTCCCCCCCAAGGGCCGCRGACCCCCCGGCCACAGGGTCTCACCTGGGGTGGAGAAGGCGACGAGCAGGGTCCCGCCGGTGTAGAGGGAGCTGAGGGGACAGCGGTGACACGTGGGGACGGGATCCTGGGAATCGCAGGTGATTCCCCTACCCCGCCCCATGGGAGCCAGGCCACCCCAGTGACAAAGCCACCCCCAGCCCTGTCCCCCCCGTGCCCGTGTCCCCCCGCACAGGGCTCACATAGCGATGAGGCGCGCGGCCGTGGTGCCAAAGCGGTCGAAGACGACGCCCATGGGGAAGGTCATGAAGTTGTTCATGAAGGAGCCGATGGTGAAGACCAGTGAGAACTGCTCATCCTGCCCGCTGCAGTCTGGGGACAGCCACAAATGGGGCGAGGGGCATGGAGACAGGGGCATGGGGACACCGGGAATACCAGGGAGGCGGGGACATGGCATGCAGGGGGCACCGGGCATGTGGGAACACCACGGATATGATACTGGAGACATGGGGGACAGCAGGCACGTGGGCACAGGGACAGCAGGGACACGGGACACTGCGGGCATCAGGACACTGGGGACAGCAAAGACATAGGCACGGGGGCACGGTGAGGATACGGGGCAGCACAGGGGGCATGGGGACAGCAGGGACACGAGTCGGGGGACCATGGGGACAGGTGGGGTCCATACCAGACCCCTGGGTGAGGTTGGGGCCGGGGGTGGCTGAGGGCTGGCACAGCCCCTCAAAGTATCGCAGGTCCTTGAGGACGAAGACGAGGGAGGCCCAGCCGAAGATGATGCCGCAGAAGGCGCCGCACTCCAGCAGCCCCGACAGGAGGGTCCCCAGGCGCTTGGCCAGCCCCGCGCCCCCTGCCATGTCCCCCACCCGCGGGGCCACTGGCCCGGGCCGTCACCAGCCTGGGGCGTCCTCGCCGAGCCTGCGGGTGACAAACGCCGGGCGTCACACCACKCCGGCACCCGCCGGGGGCACGGGGACACCTGGGGTGCACAGGGGCGCGTGGTGGCACACGGCCACCTGGGGAAGGCTGTCCCCGGCTGYGGTGGCTGGCACCGGTGTCCCCCCATGTGCCAGGGCAGGGGGCAGGGCCCTGCGGCAGCCAGGGCTTGCACACACATGTTCACAGACCTACACATGTGTTCACAGACATACGTACACACGTGTTCACAGACGTACACACGTGTTTACAGTGACACACGTCTTTACAGTCACACACGTGTTTACAGGGACACACCTGTTCCCAGGCACACACACGTGTTTGCATGCACTCACACACAGACTTACAGATGTGCACACCTGCACACGTGCCCGTGCCTGCTGACCCCTGKCCTGCACCCCTCACCCACCTGCACGAGGCCAGGCCCTCCTGTTGTCACCGTCACCGTCACCGCCGCCGTGGAGTTTGAACCCCGGCAGCGTGGCTGGGACGCACCTCCGCACCCCCACCGAGGCCCCGCTAATCTCCCAGGAGCACACGTGGGCCCCCAGGGCTGCCGGTCCCCGATAGTTCCTCGGGCCCCCTGATGGCTCCTCAGGCCCCCTGATGGCACCTCGGGCCCCCCGATGGCACCTCGGGCCACCCGGTGGCACCTCGGGCCACCCGGTGGCACCTCGGTCCCCCCACCACACCAGGACCCTCCTGCGCTGTCCCTATGGCCCCGCACCGGCCCAGCCTGGCACAACCCTGGGGACACTGCTGGGCACCCTGGTACGTGCTCTGGTGACAAAAACACAGCCCTGGGAATGCCAACATCCTCCCAGGGACACCAGCATCCCCAGSGGACCTGGCACAGCCATGGGGACACCGACACACCGCTGCGCACCCTGGTGTGACACCACAACAACACACCTCACCCCAGGGACACCGGCGCCCTGCTGGGGACCTGGCACAGCCCTTGGGAAACTGGCACTCTTCCTGGCGATGCTGGCACAGCCCCTGGGGACATTGGCACCCCCTCAGGGACACCAACACCTCCCCCCCCGGGGACCTGGCACAGTGCTTGGGAAACTGGCACAATCCCTGGGGACGCTGGCACAGCCCCTGGGGATGCAGGCACGCTGCAGGGGATGGTGACACGGCCCCTGGGGCCCTCCCTTGGGGACCTTGGCACGGCTCTCAGGGACATTGTCACATCTCTGGKACCCTGCCACCCTCCCGGGGACTCTGTCATGTCTCTAGAGATCCCCTCACGCTGCTGGGGACTGTGACATGTCAACTGGGCATGCTGCCACCCCAACCACAGCACCRCACTGGTGACTGTCACCCTGCTGGGGCTGACAACAGGTCACCCCACACACGCAGCTGGGACTCCCTATGACCCACGGATGGGTGTCAAGGGCACCAAGGCCACATCACCTGAGCCAGCCTGTCACTGTCCTCTGTATCCCCSCAGCTYGCTCACCCATTGCACTGAGCCCCCYGTCACCGTGTCACTGTCCAGGGCCTGTCCCTGTCCTGCTCCCCTGCCCGCTGTAATGTCACATAATGAGGCCTCATTACAGTGACCAGCGGCTAAAGATTAACCTGGACAAAGCCGAGGGGGAGGAGGGGGGCAGGCCGGGGGGCTGTGTTATTTTTAGCCACCAAGGCAGGGGTGGGGTCGTGGCACCTGCGGGGGGACACCGGGGCACCCTGAGATATGGGGTCACTCCCTGGGGTGCCCCGGCCACAGTAATGGGCACCATCCGCCACCGAGCCACATGGGGTGTCCTGGATGTGCTGGTCTCTCTCAGCCACACTGCTGAYCCCCACAAAGCAGTGATCACCCCAYACTGGTGAGGCCCYCGCAGTGGTGAGCCCCCAGAATGGCGAGCCCTTCACGAGACAGCTGGAGGCTCCGGCTCGGCTCAGGGGCTCGCAGCATTAGTGCCTCTGTCCCCTCTGTCCCTGCCGTGTCCCCCCAGCTGCCCCCGAACCGTGACGGGGGGCAGGTGGGGTCACGGCACCTCTGGGAGCTGCCATAAGGCTGGGCCCCCTCCCCACCCCGCTGCCCCCCCGTGGGAGGGGATGTCCTGGGGCGGKCACTGCCCGCGCCCCACGGAGCAGGGGCAGCCCCGGCCGCGGGGACTCGGCCCGCCGTGTGCGGCGAGGGGACACGCCTGTGATCCTGGGGACGGGCAGCCACGGGGCACCGCCGTGCCAGCCCCCCCGAGCCTGCCCCACGGCCCCGGGGCCGACGCAGCCCCACGGCACAGCCCCGGACACCCGCACCGCGTCCACGCCGAGCCCAGCCCCGCAGGCCACGGCCCCAGGGCCCTCTGTCCCCTCCTCTCCCGGATCCTCCCGTCCCGGTCACAACCCCCCCTCCCGCCGCCGCTCGGTGTCCATCCGGGCCCCGCCGCGCCCCCCGGCTCCTCCCGCCGCATCCCCGCGCCGCTCACCCGCCTCCCGCCCGGCCCGGCGGGGAGGGGACCGGGCTCTCCCCGCCCCGGCGCTGCCGCTGCTCCCGGTGCTCCCGGTGCCCTCGATGCCGCGCCCCTGTCCCCCCTCCGCCCCTCCACCCCGCGGGCGGAGCGGAGCGGAGCGGCCGGGCCGGGCCCCGCCCCCGGGCGCGGCGTGTCGGGGGGGCGCGGGGAGGCGGCCTCGGTGGAGCGGCCGCGGTCACTCGCGGGTCCGCCCAGGAGGGGCCGTTCCGGCACGGAGCCCTTCCCCGGTGCCGCCCCCACGCCCCCCGCGGGTGTCCCCCTCGGCATCTCCAGGTGTGACTTCACCTGGTGTCCCCAAGATGTGCTCCCGCTGGCGCCACCCTCGGGCCACGCTTGCATCACCCTTTCKGTCGCTCTTGGGCCAGCCTTGATTGATGCTTGGGTCACCCCTTGGCAATTCCTGCACATCCCAGGACCACCTTGGGCTACCCCTGGGCCACTCCTGCTGCGCCACCCCAGAGCCGTYCCCGTGCCACCCCGCTGTGTTTTGCCGTGTCCCCTGCTTGTCCCTGGTCCCACTCGGGACACCCCCATTCTGTCAGCCTCCTCTCGATCACACCCTCTCCTCTGTCCCTCTGTCCATCCATCCATCAGGGCTTGCAGCCACCTGCTCTGTCCCCCCCTGTCTCCACCACTCCAGCCGCTCATCTTGTCTGCCAGCTGCCCTTCTGTCTGTGCATCACCCGTCCATCTGTCCATCACCCATCCATCTGTCCATCACCCATCCATCTGTCCATCATCTGTCTGTCACCTGTCCATCTGTCCCCATACAATCACAACTCTATCCATCCCATCCATCTGTCCCACGACGGTCCAGCTGTCCATTGCCTGCCCTTCCCTCCAGCTGTCCGTCTGTCTGTCCTCTCCATCCATCCATCCATCCATCCTCCTCCATCTGTCCATCCCCAGGTCCAGATGTTCTCCGCACATCTGTCTGTACATCTGTCTTTCTCTCCTTACATCCACCTGTACATTCTCTCCTTACATCCACCTTACCCTCCACCTCTCTGTCCAGCCACCTGTCCTCTCCTTCCATCCACTGTCCACCCGTCCATCCGTCCCTTTCCCATCCCCAGCTCCCCAGGCAGGTGGGCAYCAGCACCCACAGACCCCACAGGGTGGGCTCCCCCTCCCCTGGCCAGCTCAGKGGGGTCCGGCCGGGCTGTCCGCGGCCGGGGTGGGGGCACGGGCGGGGGGCACGGGCGGGGGGAGCGGATGGCGGCCCCTGAGTCAGCCCCGCGCCTCCCACGCCCCCTCCCACGGGTGCCGCCGCAGCAGCTTGTGGCATTTCGCTCGCCGGAGACGGCGCCGCAAACACGCGCCGGTGCCAGCCGGTGCCGGTGCCGCCGCAGCCCGCGCGGCCACGCGTCCCCCCCCACGCGCGGCACCGGCGTGGGGTCCGCGCGGGGCCGGTACATCCCGCACCGCGGCCACCCGCTCTGACCCGGGCCGGGCAGCGGCGCGGCGGCACCACGGACAGCGCCGGTCCGGCACCACGAACAGCGCCGCGGTCCCGCGTGGGTGTGGGGACCACCGCCCCCCGCGCCCTCCCGGCGGCCCGCTGGGTGCGGCACTCCCGGCCCCGCCGCACCCACCCTGCGGGCAGCCCCCGCGGGGTCCCGMGGTCCACGGGGGCACCAAAACCCGGCGCCGGTCCCAACATCGCGGGACAGAGGGAGGGAGGGACGGACGGACAGACGGACTGCGGGAGACCACCCTCCCTGTCCCGTTCTCACAGCTGCCCACGCGAGCTCCGCGTCCCATCCCCGTGGGGGGAACCCGCCACACCCCCGTGTCCCCATCGGGCGTTCCCCTCGCGAATCCCGCAGGGCGCGCCCCCCGCGGTCGCCCGCAGCGCATCCCGCGCTGTCCCCACCGGGCTGCCGGGGGTCCCCGCGCCCACCCTGTCCCGCCTGGGGCGGGCCAGCCCGGGAAGGGTTAAGCGGCGGGGCCGGCGCGGGGGGCGGAGCGGCCGCCCCGGGATAAGGCGCGGCGCGGGGAGGGCTCAGCCCCACGGAGCCGCGGGCAGCGCCGCGCCGAGCCCACCCGTGCCCGAGCCCGAGCCCACCCGTGCCATGCCCCGGGGCGGCGGCGGCTGCTGCTCCYGGCGGCGCGGCGGGGGCGAAGGGGCCGAGCAGCCCCCCCGGCACCGGCCATGACCCCGCGGGTGGGCAGCGCCTGAGCGGCCGCCCCGCCATGCGGCCCCCCACGGCTCGGGACCTGCCCCCAGGTAGGCGCGGGGTCGGGCGGGGTCCCAAGGGTGTCGGGTGAACCCCTGGGGTGCCACCCGGAGACCTCGGTCCCGGCTCGGGGTGTCCCGCTGCGCTCGGGGTGCGGGTGCCCCGGGGTGCGTGGGGAGCCCCGGGTGCGCGGGGAGCCCGGGGCCGCCCCGGAACGCACAGCCCGGCGTGGGGGCGAATCCCGGGGCACCCCAGGTTGAGCCCCCCGCGACGCCCGGGCTGCGTGTCGCGGGGGCGCGCCCCGACCCACGAGGTGCCCGCTGCCAGCCCGGATCGAAGTGTGGCTGTCTCATGACCCACGGGATATTCGGTGCCACCCCGGGACCCCCAGCCCGGAGTGGGGGTGCCTCATGACACGTGGGGYACTCGGTGCCACCCCGGAACCCCCATTCCGGCGTGGGGAGTGCCCACGACCCCCGGCACTCCCTGCGCAGCGGCGGGGTGCATAGCCCGGCACGGGTGCTCCACGATCCACGGGGTACCCGGTGCTACCCCGGGAGTGTGGGTACCCCACGACCCCCAGCGGGGGGTACCCCACGACCCAMGGGGTACGCGGTGCCAGCGCAGGAACCCCGGCCCGGCGCGGAGACGCCCCGCAGTTCACAAGGCGGGCACCGCCGGGGAGCCGCGAGTGCCCCGGTCACGCCGCGGGTGGGTGCCRCGGGGTCTGTGGGGTACCCGCAGGTACCGGGCTGGGGGGGGGTTTCGCACCGAGGGGGGGGAAGCTGAGAACCGGTGACTTCAGCTCCCAACTGAGTCAGCCCGCGGCGTGGGGGAGTGACAGATGGGACGCGGGTGGGGGGCGCACGCCGGCACGGGGCGCCGGGGGAGGGGGGCGGCGCTGAGCAGATGCGCCGGACGCCTCCGTGGGTGGGTGGGGGGTGGGTACCCCCCCAACTCGCGGAGCTCCGGCAGAGGGGAAGGGAGGGAAGGGGGCGGTGGGACCCCTCGGTGCATCTCCGGTGTGACCTCCGGTGCACCGGAGGATCCCACCGCCCCCCTCCTTCCCCTCCCCTCCCCCGGTAGCGGCGACTGGGCGCATCCACGCATCCCCGGGCGTGGATCCAGGCCGCCGGGCTGAATTATGGATGAAGCTCTCGGGTTGCAGCCTGAGGGGGGGATGGACACGGGTGGGGGGGGGAAAGGGGGGGGATGCTGAACACCCGGAGCGGCGGCGCGTGTCGTCAGCCCGCGCCCACGCGTGCCCCGCCCCACACGTGGCCGCGGCACGCGCGCACGTGGCACCGCCCCGTTTGGGGAGGGGGCACGGACCCCCCCCAGACTGGGGCTAGGGGGGTCCCGGGGGTCCGTGACCCTGCKGGGGGTTCTGGTGGACCGTGGGGCGGACACGGTCCCGTGGGAGTGTGGCCACGGCACGGGAGGTCAGGGAGCTTTGGGAGTCCCTGGGGACCACGGCCCCAGTGGCAGGGAACAGTCCCAGGGGGACAGTCACTTTTTGGGGTGCCCAGCCTCGGTGCTGCGGAGCAGCGTGGCCCTGGGGAGTCTTTGGGGAGCACAGTCCTATGGGGCTGCTGTGGGTCTGGGGGCTGCAAGGGGAGTTCAGCCCTATGGGGTGCTCATGACCTTGGGGCTCTCCTGGGGGACTGCGGGGGGACTAGGGGTCACCTACAGGACCATGGCCTCGGGGGGTCCCTGGGGAGCCATGGCCCTTGGGGGACCCCACGGGTGGGCACATTGCCCCACCCAAGGGTGTCCAGGCCTACGGGGTTGTCATGACCTTGGGGTTCTCCTGGTGAACCACAACCCTGCGGGCGGGGGGGGAGGTTGCTCCTGGGGTCGTCCAACCCTATGGGAGCGATCGGGACTTTCGGACTCTGCTAAGGAGCCACGGCTGGATGGGGTGGGCACGGCCCCGGGAGGCTCGGGGGGCTGCGGGGGGCGGGCGGCGCGGGGGTCGGGGACGCGGGGTGCCCCGCGCTGACGCCCCGCTGTGCCCTCAGGCGGGCGCCCGGCGGCCCTGCTGCTGCTGGCGGCGCTGGTGTGGGTGCCCGGCGGGGCTCCCGCCTGCCCCGCGCTCTGCACCTGCTACGTCTCGCCGCCCACCGTCAGCTGCCAGGCCAACAACTTCACCTCGGTGCCCGCGGGGCTCCCGCCCGGCGCCCGCCGCCTCTTCCTGCAGAACAACGTCATCGGGGCGCTGCGGGCGGGCACCTTCGGGCCCAGCACCGTCACCCTCTGGCTCTACTCCAACAACATCTCCTCCATCCAGCCGGGCACCTTCCGCCACCTGCCCGCCCTGGAGGAGCTCGACCTGGGTGACAACCCGCACCTCCGCGTCCTGGCCCCCGACACCTTCCACGGCCTCCACCGCCTCCAGGCCCTGCACCTGTACCGGTGCCGGCTGGCCAGCCTGCCCAGCGGCATCTTCCGCGGCCTCCGCAGCCTCCAGTACCTCTACCTGCAGGAGAACGGGCTGCTCTACCTCCAGGTGGGTGAGCGAGGGTGGTGGGCGATGCCTCCGGGGCGCCGAGGGACAGGGTGGGGTGGCGGGTGACGCCCACGGAGCCAGGATGAGGAACAAGGCGATGGCGATGGGAACGCGGGGCAGCAACGGGAGATGCTGGTGGAGCGGGGATGGCGGCCGTGGGACGGGACCACGGGTGACCCTGGCACGGCAGGGACACGGGACAAGGTCTTGCCCGGTGCTCGTAGAGCAGGGACACGGGACAGACAGGGTGACGGGTGATGCTGGCAGGAGCAGGAGCAGGAGCAGGGCTCTGCGGGGCCCACACCAGCGGGTCTCCGGGTGATGCCCAGCAGGCAGGGCCGCAGAACGGCGCTGTGGACGCCCACCCCACGGCCGCCCCTCTCCCGTCCCCCGCAGGACGACCTCTTTGCCGACCTGGCCAACCTGAGCCACCTCTTCCTGCACGGCAACCGGCTGCGGGCGCTGTCGGAGGGCGTCTTCCGGGGGCTGCCGAGCCTGGACCGCCTGCTGCTGCACGCCAACCGGCTGGCGGCCATCCACCGCCGCGCCTTCGGGGGGCTGGCGCGCCTCACCATCCTCTACCTGTTCAACAACAGCCTGGTGGCCCTGCCCGGGGACCCGCTGGCCGCCCTGCCCTCGCTGCAGTTCCTGCGCCTCAACGCCAACCCCTGGGCCTGCGACTGCCGCGCCCGCCCGCTCTGGGCATGGTTCCGCCGCACTCGCGTCTCCAGCTCGCCGGTGCCGTGCGCCAGTCCCCCGCACCGCCGCGGCACCGACCTGCGCCACCTCCGCCCGCGCGACTTCGACGCCTGCCCCGACGAGGACGACGAGGAGGAGGAGGGCGCGGAAGACGGCAACGGCGGCGGTGCCAACGGGGTGGCGGTGATGGGCACCCCGGGGAAGGCGCTGGGTCGCCCCGGCACCCTCCCGGCCGCGCCGCCCTCCGCCTTCTACCGCGACGGGCTGCCCCCCCACGACCTGCGGGGACCCCAGCCCCGGCCGCCCCCTCCGTCCCGTGATTCCCGCGGGCCCCCCGAGGACGCCAGCTGCCCCCACGACCCCTGCGCCCCCATGGCCGCCGCCGCGCCCCACCGGCCCCCCGTCCTCCTGCCCCTCCTGGCTCTGATCCTGCCCCGACTCTGAGCCCCCCTCGGCGCCCCAGRGGGGTCCCGGCTCCTCGGGGCGCCCGTGCCCTCCTTCTCCCCAGGGGAGGCCTCAAGAACTGTGGGGAACAGCCRGCGGGTGGGGACCGCAGGATGCAGAAGGGGGTCCCCTCCCATCCTGAGCGGGAAAAACCCCCAACAGGAACCAAAAGGTGGGAAATTATTTATTAAAAATGGTCTTATTTTGGGAGAGCGCGGCCTGGCTGCTGCGGGGAAGGGGGGGGTGGGGGGCCACTGCCGTTCCAGGTCACCGCCTGCTGCTCCTGAAATATTGATGGGAGCGACGGGCGGCAGGGCAGCGAGGCGTGCAGGGCACCGCGGGGGGGACGGACAGACACCCCCTGCGGGCTGTGCGGCCACACGACCCCCCCGACACCCRTCCCACACCCGGCGCCGCCGCGGGRCCGGTGACACGCGCGCTCCCGTGACGCCGACACCCCGCACCCCTCGCCGGATGCTGGCGGGTGTCACGGGAGCCGCGGGGCGCAGAGCCACCCCCGCGGCGTCACCCGCGCCCTGCACAGCCTGACCCACTTCCCGCAGGCRCTGGCACACAGATGGAGCACACGCTGCCGGGCTGCGGGTGCAGGGACACGGCYCACAGTCCCCCTCGGCGTGTCACCCCTGGCCTGTATCCCTCACACAGGCTGGGGTGGCCCTCAGCCAGTGTAGCTCCCTGGGTCCCTTGGCCCCTCCAACTGKCCCCAGGCGTGTGTGGGGGTGTCTGTGTGTGTGTGTGCAAACTGTCCCCGCGTGGGTATCCACACGCTCCCCCCAGTGTGCTCTCTGGCTGTCCCCACGTGGTCTTTGCCCAGGCAGGGATGTCCCTGGATTGTCCCCACATGGTTCCCCCCACCTGTGTATCCCCAGCCGGGGATGGGAGTCCCAGGAGTGTCCCTGTGTGGGTGTCCCTGTGACATGTCCCTCCAGGGCTGTGTCCCTGTGTGGGTGTCCCTGTGCCCTGTCCCTCCAGGGCTGTGTCCCTGTGTGGGTGTCCCTGTGCCCTGTCCCTCCAGGGCTGTGTCCCTATGTGGGTGTCCCTGTGCCCTGTCCCTCCAGGGCTGTGTCCCTGTGCAGGGTCCCCCAGCTGTCCCCACCGGTGCCCCCGGCAGAGACAGACAGGGAGGGGCTGAGCCCTGTCCCACCCCACTGGGGATTACAAGGGGCTCAGCCCGGCTCTGCCTAATCCGGGGGATTACTCGGGCTGGGCCCAGTTGGGGGGGGCACCCAGGGGTGCCCCCCACAAGGACACGGCACRTGGCAGCTGGGGCCAGCCAGGGGGGCTCCCAGCAGCAGCCACGGGCACCGCGTACCCCAACACACGGCCACGGGGTGGGTTTGGGGGGCAAGGGGAGCACAGCAGACACCCCCAGTTTATTGGGGTGCGGGGCGGGGTTCAGGCGGTGCCGGTGCCCTGCTGCATCCGCTTGAGCAGCTCCTCGTCCTGCATCGACAGCTCCGTCAGCTTCTTGCCCATCCGCTCATGCACCTCCAGGTACTTGGCCACGCAGCGGTCCAGGCACACGCACTCCCCTTTGGACAGCTCCGACTCCTTGTAGTGCGGGGGAACGCACTTGCGGTGGCACGCCTGGGTCATCCTGCACGGACCGCACCGCGCCTGAGCCCTGCGCCACCCGGCGCACCCCGCAYCCCGCCATCRCCACCCYCGGSACCCGGCCCMGCAGCCCAAAACCTCCCGTACCCCGCCATCGCCACCCTCGGCACCCGGCCCCGMACCTCAGCACCCCCTGTATCTCCCRYTATCGCCATCCCCGGCATCCCCAACCCTTGCACCCCAACACCTCCTGTACCCGCTCCACCACCGCACCGGGATCCCGGCCTCTACACCCCAACACCCCCAGGACCCTCTGCCATAGTCATGCCCGGCACTCCTAGGACCCCCATGGTCCCCCATCTTCAGGCATCTCCGGTGCCCCCATTTCCCGGGTGTCGCCTGGAATCTCCCGCACTCCCATCCACCCCCAGCACCCAAGGAACCCCCTCGTGCCTCTGACACCCACTAGTACCCCCCAAGCCACGGAGACCCCCCCGGTACCCCGACACCCTCCATGCTCCCCCCCGGCGGGCCGCACCGGTTGTACATGTCGGCCATCATCTCAACCTCCAGCTCGGCCGCCAGCTGCTGAGCCCGCAGCGGATCCATGGCGGCCAGCACCGGCCCCGCTCGGTCCCGGTCCCAGTCCCGGTCCCGACGCCGGTCCCTCTGGGCCCGGCCCCGCTCGGATCCGCCCCGTTGGACCCGCCCGGTCCCGCTCGGTTCGGGACCCGCCGGCGGCTCCCTGCAGGAACCACGTGGGCGCCGCGCTTCCGCCCACCCGCCCAGCGGCCCCGCCCCTTTCCCGCTCCGACCAATCGCGTGCAGGCGGGGGCGGGACCAGGGGTGCGTCCCTAGCGCTGATTGGTCAGGCGGGAGGGGCGTGGCGCTGGCCGAGCGGCGGGAGGGGAAGGCGCGAGCTCTGCCCGGCCTTTGCCCCGCAGGGGGCGGGGTCACACAAAACAGGGCGTGGTCAGCGCGGAGGGGGCGTGGCCATGTCGGGACCGTAGCCGGGGGTGGCGGGGGGGCTGYGGGTCTCCCCGGGATCTCCCGTTCCAGTCCCCCGCTCTGTGTTCCCTGTTCCTCGTCTCCCTCAGCCCCACAGTGTCCTGCCGTGCTGCCCGGGCTGTCCCCGCGTGACCCATGTCCCCAAGTGTCTGTGTTCTCCATTCCCCCCGCTCCCCGTGTCCCCCGTGTGTCCTGCCACCCCCTTTGTCCCCCGTGTACCCCCGCGCGTCTGTGTTCCCCACCTCGCGCGTGTGCCTGTGACCCCCAAATCTCCCTGTCCCTGATTAGCATGTCCGTGTCCCCTGTGTCCCTCRGGTCCCAGGGCACCGGCTCGGTGCCCCCCCGGGGCTCCTGCTCCTGTCGCCACTGACCGGGTGGGACTGTCGGCATGTCCCCCCTCCCCAGCCATGCCCGGGTGTCCGGCCCGGCCCCACGCGTGCCCCGCGGGTGGGCGGTGAGTGAAGGCGGCACCTGCCCCCGCCGGGTAAAAATAGCGCCGGGCGGGGGGGCCGGGGCGTAGCAGTGGCGGCAGAGCGGGAGCGGCCGGAGGGTACGGGGCGAGGGGCTCCGGAGGGCTCCGGGGGGAACGGGGWACGMGCGGCGGGGGCGGAGCGGGGAGCGGCCSGGAGGGTACGCACCGGGGGRCACCGGGGGGCAGCAGGGGAGACCGGGAAGAGGCTTATGGGGGGCCGGTAATGGTGACTGGGGGGCCGGGAGAAGACACGTGGGGTCGGGAGAGGGACATGGCGGCTCCGGGATGGGACGTGGGTGGTCGGTGGGGAAATGGGGGCGGGAAGGGACACAGGGGTGCCGACATGGGGCATGGGGAGGGACGAGGAGTGGGGCAAGAGGGGAAGGCAGGGTTGGTTTGGGGCACGAGGGGCTGCTGCAGGAAGACGTGGAGGGTCCGGGTGTTACTGGGGTGTCGGGATGGCGAGTGGGGGAGCCTGGACAAGGGGCAACTGGGGTGCCCCAGGTGAGAGTGCCAGGGCTGGAGGGGGGCATGGCGACAGGAGCAGGAGGGGGCTCAGCCGGG